GAGAGGACGGGGCCGTGTGGGACTTGGCCGGGCTCAGCCGGGACTGGGGGGCCCGTGGGAGATCAGCCAGGAGCATCCCCCCGGGCTGGGGTGAGGGGGGAAGCTTTGTGTCCGCGTCCATGGTGAAAATGAGCCCGCAGCCGTCCCGGCCGCCGTCGTCCTCCCTGGTGCCGGTGGGATGGGGCGTTAGCCCATCGGTGTCCCCACGCCGTGGTGAGCCCGGGGACGGTGCCAGGGTTAGAGAGGTGGCCGCCGCCACCACCGCAGCCTGGTCTGCCATCGCTCGCATCGCCAGCGGCACCGGTGCTGCCGAGGGAACGGGAGGAAGCAGCTCAGCTTTGTGCCACCTCGAGGCACAGCATGTCCCTGCCCCGGTCCTGCCTTCCCCATTAGCATCACCACGAGCTGCCGAGCAGGAGTGGGGTGTCCCTGGGGACCTCAGCACCGCGGGCTGGGTGATCCCTATTTCGGGATGCCCTTGGGGCCATGGGCTGCCAGCAGACAGGAAGCCTGTGGCTCTTCCTGCGCTTCCCGGCAGGGATGGGACAGAGAAGGCACCACGGTAAGATGAGCTCAATGATAGCGTGCGGGGAACCGTTCGTATAACGAGGATAAACCTCAGGCAGGCAATTAGCAACATTAGGGCCTCCGAGAACCCGGAGCCGTGAGCCAGGTCTGCAGCGACACAAGGGGGATTTTCCCACACCAGGACGTTACGTTGGCCCCAGTGCAAGTGCGGGGGCTGTGAGGAGGGATGCAACGCCAGCGGGCAGGACTCTCTGACTCCTCTAAATGTTTCTCGCTTAACCGACAGTGGTTTGGCCCTTGCTTAATGCATTGCATAAACCTGAAAAGAAACAAGCCCGAGCTGTGGCCCCAGTTCAGCGGGAGGATGATCTGGAAGCAGGGGGTCAGTAATCTCTGGCTTTACTGGAGGGGCACGAAGTTTTCCTAACACATAAAGTTTCTGTAGCCCTGAGTGTGTTCCTGGCCATGGCAAAGTGTCGTCCCATCCCCAACAGCCACCGTGATCCCTCCATCGCTGCACTCCTGCTGAAGCAACGAGGCCGGCCCTGCTCCCGAGCCATGCGTGTGTGATTTTGGGAGGGAGGATGGAGGCTGCAGGATGGGCTCTGCAGGGCCATCGCGGGGCTGAGCCCAGCACCCGGCAGGTTCGTGAGGTGCTCGAGCTCTGTCACTGCCCCCTTCCCCTCGCAGCATCCCTGCGGCAGGAGCGGGGATACCGTCCCGTGGGAGCTGGGGCTGAGCAGGACCCTGCCGCCGGCGGGTGCTGCCCCTCGGGCTGCCTTACACCCGGCATCCGCGTCGCCCTGGATCTTCAAAGCACTTCACTGCCACGAATTAATTACAGGCTGTGCCGCAGCTGCCTCCAGCACCGTTTATATAATCTCACGCTTTGTGGCTTTTGCTTCGCTTCTGATTTACAGGAGCCACTTGTTAACCCCAACTAATCCGCGGGTGATTACCCCGGTGATGCCCAGCACCCCGCAGAAACCCTGGCTGTGGGGCTGGCGCCATCCATCCCGCAGGCAGGGCTGCCGGCACTGCCGGCACCACTGGCACCCCCCGGCAGACGGAGCGGTCCGGGGCGCCATGCAAAGCACCGAAACACCAAAATGGGGAGCGAGAGAGGAAAACGAGAGGCAGAGCTGGGCCTGAGAAGGGCCCCTTTTCCTGACCCTGCAGGGCCCCGTACACCTCCCACCCAAGCAAGGCAGGTGGGAGGCAGCCAGGACCCCCACTTGCCCCTCATCATGCAGGTTTCCCGGTGGCCCCGTGCCACAGCCATCCCCCAGCATCCCCAGTGCTGCCCGTCACCCTCCCCAGCCATCGGCCGTGCCTACCAGAAAGCCCCGGGGCTGGTCCTCGGCTGGTCCTGCCCAGACGCCGCTCCCCGTGCCTGCCGGGTTAGGGGGATGCCGGCTCCCCTGCGCTCGGCGAGGGCTCGACGCTCCGCTCCGCCGTGCCTGGCTTTGCGTTACCACCACTCCAGTATTCGTGGGTTTTAAAAGCTAAAAAAAAAAAAAAAAAAGACGACTGTTTCCTGAGAGACCATTAGCACAGTGGAAGACGGAGATAATAATAGCCTGGGTTTGCATGGGAGTTTTCATCTGGCAGGGACGTCAAGTACAGCGGGGGCTATAGATACGCTGCTGAAATGCAGCCACCTCTAGGGAGCGTGGGTGGCCGGGAGGGTGGGCAGCACCAGGGATGGACCCCGCTGGGTGCCACGGCTGGACCACCGGCACCCTGAGATGGAGGGTCCACACGGAGCAGCCCCGGTGAAAGCTTTGCTGCTGGCTCAGGGGTCAGAGAGCAAATATCGAGCCCAGAGGTGCCCCTGGAGCCGGCTCCTCAGTGTCAGCGCTAACCTACCTTCCAGCCCAGAGCTCGTCCCCAGCCTGTGACCACAGGGTTGCGCAGGGTGGGGGGATTCTCTTTGCTCTTTATAGGATAAATTGAATATGAAGGCCCTTGCAAGCATTTTCATCAAGTGCCAGGGGTAGCTGGGTGGGCACGGCTGGGTGATGGACGGATGGGGACGGCAGCGGCTTCAGACTTGGTGCTTGGGACAGGCAGCCCGGGAAGGTCGCATCTCTGCAAAGCCTCGAGAGCTGCGAGTGCCCCAGCTGGGCAGGGACACGAGATCCCTAACGACTGCCGAGCCCCCTCGCCGCTCTTGAAAACACCGAAGCCATAGACATCAGCAAGCCTCTCTGCTGGACCCAGGCTCTGAATTTCTGCTCCTTGCTCTCAGCTCTGGTTCAAATTCAGGACTCGGACTTGACCTGACACAGAGACAAGCTGCAGCCTGGAGCGGGCTGGTGCCTTTGAGGCAGCAGGCGCCTGTGTGGCACGGCACAGCGTGGCGTGGCACGGCACGGTGTGGTGCACCCCGGCGTTAGCTCACCCCAGGGTGCAATACCTACAAACCGCTTGGAAAGAGACAGTTTCCCCACGCCGGGGTCTGCCCCATCGGTGCCCTGAGCCGCTCGCTCCCAGGTGGGCACTGCCCGACTGGTCTGGTGTTTGCTTTTGTTGTGATATCAGGGAGAGTTAATTGAAAAATTAATTTCCAGCAGCTCTTTCCAGTGAATTAGAGGTGCTGGTGGTGGGGGCGGAGGGCTGGCACTGCTGGCGGGGATGGTGGCACAGCTCTGCCTGGGCGCAGAGGAGGCTTTCATCACCCAGCCAAACGAGCTGGAAAACCCTCATCTAATTATCTCCACAATATACCGCTACAGAAATCAAATTGCTGTGGTTATCAGCACTGTAACTGGAGAGCTCTCTGCATTATCCTGTGATTAAGGAGCGCGGGGCTTTGAAGAAAGTCTCACTGCAACCTCAAGACATAACTTTGGGCAATGGGTAGGGCAGTGTGGGATCCCAGCTCCGTCCTCTGCTCCCGCTTCCACATCACATCGCTCCTTCTCAGGGAGTTTACTGGTGGATACTGGAATGGATTTCATGCCGCTGGGGGGGCGAGGAGCCAGGCAGGCTTCAGCACCGCATGAACGGCTCCACGGTGGCTGTGCCTGCCGGGACGCTCAGAGCCAGCCAGCCTCAGCGCCCAGCCCCAGCACCCGGTCTGGTCCCCCAGTGACCCACTCCCAAAGCCTCCCCGCCACCCTGTGCTGTCCCAGGGTTGAGCTCAGCCTTTCCATTGCTACGGATTTTGCTTCGCCCCCATGTCTCAGCCGTCCCCGTCCCTCTCCCATACCTCCTGCACAGAGGCTGCTGCTGATGCCGAGAGCAGCTACTAATTCAGGGCGGCCATCCCAGAGCAAAGGGAGCCTGGGCCGTCCCCAGACCTTCGCATCCCTCGTGGCATGGCCCTTGCAGCTCACAGGAGAGCTCTCAGCCCTGGTTTCACCAGGACGCAGCCCTGGGGAAGGTCCTGGCCGGTTTGCCCATCTCTTTCATTAGCACAGGCACAGCTTCACCTTCTGAAAAGGCTTTCTGGTTGGCAGCAGACGTCTGGGTGGACGATACAGCTGAGACATGGGGTCCCGGCGGCCGCTGTGGCTCCTTCCGCTGGCTGAAAATCTGCACCCCGAAGGTGTACACATCCCTTGAGTCTATTTGGACCCTTTCCTGACACCCCGCTTGTCTGATCTTGGTGGATCATAAGGAAGGTGCTTTCAAAACAGCACGTCACCCGTTCTCCATGCGGTGACATGGTGCATCCACGGCTCCCCGCTGCCCCACGGTGCTGCAGCGAGAGCCCCTTCCTCCCCCTGCCCAGGCGCCTGCCATGAATCATCAATCCCTGGGGCTGGAGCGGGGAGCTCAGCCTGCCCGAGATGAAAGCCTGACCTAATTCAAACCGGCAGCATCCAGTGGGCAGGAGCACCGCCAGCGCTGGCCCCACGTGGGGGTTTCCACGCCGAGCACAACCCCGGGGTGAGCTCCTGGCTGATGGACTCGTCCATTGGCATTAGGGAGCAGGGATCCATCCGAGCACTTTGCTGTGGGCCGCAGGGCTCCGGCAGCAGGGCTGGCTCCTCAGCACAGTCCCTGGCTTGTGTCCGAAGGGCACCGGCATTTTTGCTCTTGCACCAAGGAAGGTGCAATTTCTGTGAGAGCTCACTGGATGAGGACTCATCCAAGGGTTCTCAGATAAAACTAGGGAAGAAGAGACTCGTGGTGCCCGTTTTTTTGGAAGGAAAAGGAAGCCGCACGCAGCTCACCCCCTCCCGGAGCCTGCCAAGGGGCCGGCTGCCTGCGGTTCACCTTCAAAGCCCTTACCTTGCCATACGCGGGGCTGCTGCCTCCTCCTTCTCCAGGAGCCCCACGCACCCCACAAAGGGACACAGCTCAGACTGCATCGCCCCCCCGCTCTGGCTTCCGTGGGGAGGGTCCCCACGGGTGACCCCTGGCTCTGCGCTCCTGGGGTGGCGGGACGGGTGGTCCCCACTGAGCCTGTGCCCGCACCCCATCCACTGAGACCCCGGCGTGTGCGTGGTAGGGGGAGCCCCCAGTTCGTCCCAAGGGCTGCCCAACCTCCATCACCCACCCCGGGCAGCGCTGCTGGGGGGGCTGGGGCTGCCCCGGCCCCGGCCCCCTCCCCGCGGGGTCCCCGCCCCTG